AGTTCCTTGCGTAGGCCTCTTTCTGTTAGTGCTCTGCTGGTGTGAAGAGGAATTGATGTCTGAATGGGGGTTTCATGGGCTTAATTCAGAAACTCTGAAACTCTTCTTGGCTTGTCTTTTATTTTTGAAAACTTAGGCAATTATTTTATTTGTTGACTTCTTTGAATCTCTTTTGTTATAGTGATGGTTTACCCATGTTTGTGTACTAAGATTCTCTATTTGAAATTTGGAGGTTGGTAGTGATTTTTATAAATGAATGAGAGAACACTAATGGCAAATGATTTTAGTGATGAGGTATTAAAAACATGAGAAGCATTTGTTGCTGTGAGAGTTGGTATCAGTTGGTTGCATGGTATAGGCAGAAGTGGTTTCTGGAGCCCAGTTTTTCAATAAAATGACTGTTATTGCCAGCATAGTCTTCAAGTACAGAGATGAACATATCTGGGCTTAAGTGTAATGAAAACAGTATTTTTTATTTATCCCACCTTCCCTTTTTTCCTTGAACTACTTACTGTTAAGGTATTTAGTACAATGAATCTCTACATTTGTTTCTATTTTAGGACATAAATTTGGGCAAGAATCATTAATTAGTGCTCAGTATATCATAGACTTATGTTTGTACATATGAACATATTTGAAGATAACAAAATTTGGATTCTTTTGAGAGACTTTTAGGCATGTGTAAGTGGTTTAGCTAGACCTGTGAATTATTTGCACTTGGATCAGTTTGGTGAGAAAGCTTGCTATAATGTCACTAAATAATTTCATCTTTAAAAATAAGTTACATACACGTTTATGTATGTATATCTCATCCAAACCCATTAAAATTTCAGCAAATCAAGAGGTAACACAGTTAAGAACCTCCTTTTCCTCAAGTAAATAGGCAAATAATGTAGCTAGACAGTAGTTGGGTGGAGAATAGAAGGTAGTAGTTGCAAGTTTCAATTTTCTGGTTTGTTAAACAGTGACAAGTTTAATAAAAATTAATTGGTGGACTATAACAGAATTATTTGTACAGTCATAATTTTTCTTTGGGAGAAAAATAAGACTAGCAAAGCTTTTCCTTTCATCTACCCGGAAAAATGTTGGGATATAATTAGACTAAATTTATTTGCATAGTATAAATACAAACTTACACCAAATTCAGTATATGAAAGTTTAAAAAATTAATTTGTACAAGAGTACTTTTAGTCAGGTGAATGTTTACTGAGTTTTAGCCCAGAACATTTTTGTGATTTTTGCTTTTCTTTGCCATCTGCTTTTAGCATTTTCTTAATCTTGTTTATCAGCATTGGTTTTTATTATGTGTTTGGGGTATTAGAGACATGTCAGGTGTAATAATGTATAAAAGTAAACCATGGAAAAAAATTCATTGTAAAGGCAGTAATTATAAAGGTAAACATGAAAAAATTTTAAAAAATTACCCGAAATTATGGAATAAGTACAAAAAAATTTTAAGTTCATCTCAGCAAGCCACATGTAAATCTGCATAGCTGTTCTAATTCTTCTGTAAATAGGTACTTAGAACCAATTTGGCATATTCACGGAAATGTCCCTCTCCCCAGTGTGCCTTCCACTTCATCCCCCTCTTATAGGTAACTAACAAGTGTTTTCTTGTTTATCTTCCTTGTGTTTATGATGATGAGCAAACAAATGCATTTTTTTTCCTGTTTCTATGACAAATATATATGTAACATTAAAATCTTTCCCTTTGTCATACATGTATGTCAAATGAAAGGGAAATTTTTTTTAATTTAAAAATTTAAGAAATGAATGTATCCGCTTGTTATTTTTCACAGTTGCATAGTGCTCTTTTGTGTGTATGAATGATTGTTTACTCAACCCAGCTCCTATGTTAGGATATTTAGAGCCCAATATTTTCAATTAAAAATAATCTTTGAATGACATTAATGAACAACAACACTGCACAAATAACATTGTGCATATATATTTTTACATTGTTTGCAGTATATCTTCAGAATAAATTCTTGATGATGGGATTGCTTTATCAAAGGGAAAGTAACATGTTGCTTTGTTAAGCAATGTCGGATTCTCTTCTCTAGGGCTGTATCATTTTGCATTCCCATCAGCAGTGTCTGAGAGTACCTGTTTTTTCCCACAGCTTTGCCAACAGAGTACATGAGGTGTCAAAGATAAAGCTAGACACTAATGAAAGTGGCATGGACAGATTTGTTAGTAGTATACTGTTGCAAAGGGAAATGAATCCAGCTTGAACAGAACTCAACTTCCATATGTACAGAGGAGACTGGATGTGTGAAAGGGAAAATAAGGGTGTAGGGAGAGGAGTGAGCTGGGGCTCAGACGCAGGGAAGTGATGCAGTTAACAAAAGGCAGGAAGCAGGGATGGTTGGTCCATGTGAACCCCATTTGGGTTTGCTAACTGGGACTTATGGAAGTTAGGCTCCTACCCTCTCCTTCAGAGACTGAGAGGTGGTGGCCCTACTTCAGGTATTGGCTGGAGCAAACGGTGAGTTTTTTGGCAGCCTTGAGTTTTCTCAGGCAAGCACTCTAAGGGCAACTAGGGTCATCCTAACGATGTGGCCTTGAGTTCTTTAATGCTCTGTTCAAGTCTTTGTAGGCCAAGATCGAGGCCTAGTTGAGAAGAGAGCTTAAAGAATCTTGGCTGGAGTTTGGTCAAGGAGAGAATCTTGGTTAATTTTAAGATTTTCGCTGATCTGATGGGTGAGCATTTGTATCTTACTATAGTTTTAGTTTACATTTGCCCTATTACGAGTGAAGTTGGACGTGTTTTCATATGTTTGAGGGCCATTTTTATATATGTTTGTGAAGTACCTTCTACCCATTTTTCTGTAGGATTTTTGGTCTTTTTCCCCAGAACTTCTAAGAGTTCTTTATAAATGTGGGATGTTAAACTCTTTGTTGTGATATATGTTGTGAATATGTTTTCAAGTTTGTTGTTTGTCTTTTGACTTTGCTTTTTTTTGCCATGCAAATGCTTTTTAAAAATTTCTATGTAGTAAAATTTACCAGATTTTACTTTTATTATCTCTGAATTTTGAGTCATTTAATTTGAAGCCTTTCTGTATATCAATCTGAGAGAATTAACTCATTTTCTTCTACTGCTAGTATAGTTTTTTTATGCTTAGCTCTCTTATCCATTTGAATTTATTCTTATGTATGGTATAAAGAGTGTGTCTAGTTTTGTCTCTTTCCAACTGAGTATCCAGTTGCCCCAACACTATTTATGAAAAGGATTGTCTTTAGCTCAGTGATATGAAATGCCATCTTTATCACATACTGTATTTTTATATGAGGCTGGATCTATTTCTGGACTTTTTAAAAAATCAGTATCTCAGATAATTCATTAATTAACTTACAGAGAACTGACATTTTGGTGATGTTGCGACATCCTAACCAAGAATAAGGGGTATCTGTCTATTTGTTCATCTACTTTCATGTTTTTCAGTTTTCTTCGTAAAGTTTTGGATCATTTTTTTAAAGTTTATTTCTAAAAATTTAATCTTTTTTGTTGCTTGTATAAATTGAGGTTTCTTATTCAGTGTTTCTTCTAAATAGTTTTTTTGTGTATATCAATGGTACTAGTTTTTGCATGGTAATTTTATAGCCTGCTACCTTGCTGAATTCTTTTACTGTTTTTTTATCATTGATTCTCTAGGGAATTATATTCTAAGTATATTATTATATCACTTGCACATAGAAATAGTTTTATTCTTTTCCTAGTCTTTTGCTTTTGTTTTCTCTAGTCCATTTGCATTGGCCAGCACCTCAGAACATCCATTGTTCATTAGGAGTAGAGATAGTGGGCATCCATTTTGTCCTGTTCCTGACCACAGTGGGTATGCCTTAAAGATTTCTTCATTTTAAGGAAATATTCATATACATATTTTCTCATGAGTTACTATTAGGAATGGCTGTTGAATTTTGTCAAAAGGTGTTTTCAGTATCTGTTGGGATGTTCATTTGGTTTACCTCCTTAGAACTAGTAATACAGAGAACTCTATCAATAGATTTTATAAGATTGAACCATTTTACCATTCTTGGCACAAAGCCTACTTGGGCAGTCTGACTTGCAGAGCTCAACAACCTCATTTTACTAGTTGAGTGTCAGAGATTTGACATGAAACATTTTGAAAAAAGAATGACTGCTATACCAACTGTGATATCCTGAGCGTTGATCCCACAATAGCTATACTTGCTACAGCTTATTTCTACTAGTTACCTTGGAGGGTTTACACTAGAGTCTTATTAGTCAGCATCTTATCAGCAAGATCATTTACGGCAGATTGGTTACAAACTGAAGAATGCTAGGAAATCTCAAATGATGGAGCAAATGTTCATTACGATAGATCAGCCTGCAAAACAATATAGGCAGTCACTCTGCCTGTAGAGAAAAGGGTTAAAATCACAAACTGAGTTTTTCAAGGGATGGCAGTGGAAAAAACTCCATGCATTTCCATTAGGGAGAAGATTTGGAGCCACATGTTGTTTGATAGCCATGTTAAGTAAAAAATTATTTAAAAATTTTATTATCACATATGGAATATCAATATCCATTTGATTTAAAAGAATTTAGATCTTGTCAAAGGTGCTTAATTTATACAACTGAAATAATTTATTGTAAAACTGACCTCCTTTTTATAAGTTGTGGCATAGGTCCAAGGATAATAAAGCTGCATTTACATGCCAAGGAGCATATATTTGAGGAACATTTGGGGAATTTTGCAGTATTGTTTATGAGAACACTTCTAATTCAGTAGCATATGAATTTGTAGTAAAATTTTATTCATAACATATGGACTGATATTCCTAATGAATACTAAAAAGTCATGTTGAAATGAGAAATACTGAACATTTTCTTGTCACTGAATTTTTTCGTTAGATAAGTCAGTGGAAGACACTTTCTTATGTCTAATGCTTAAAAGAATTTGATTAATAACATTTTATTTTGATTAGAGTAAACATGATAACTTGAAAGTGGGCTCTTCTCATTTCTTTAGCATGTTACACCAGACAGCTATATTCCATGCCTTGCTGACCTCTGCAAAGCACTGTGGGAAGTTATGCTCAGCTATTACAGGACTATGGAATGGCATGAAAAGCATGACAATGAGGATACTACTTCTACTTCTGGTAGGAAATTATTTTGTTTTAAGAACTGAACTGTGAATATGCCATATTTCTGGAGTAAGGAGAAAGAAAAGGGATAGCCATGCTTTTAGAATTTAAGGGACTATAGTGACAGAGGTTAAATGCTCACCGAAGGAAGTGATTCAGCTAGTATAAAAGCTCAATTACCTTTGAGGATGAACTTCGCCAAAGGACTTCTTAACCTACTAGTTTATAGGAATATGTCATGATGACCTTAGGACTTAATTATTAAGAAAGGGCTTAAAAAAACATTAGTTGCAAACTAGGTAAGATATTGGTTTGTCCAAATTTACTGTAAAATTAATGCTAAAGTTCATTATTAAATCTATTTACTATTTTTCAAGTTATACAAATAAAGCCAAGTTCTAAGAATTAATAATTATACTGATATTTTTCTTCCTGAATATGCAGCAAGACCTAAATTTCCACTAAAAAGATTTTAAACTATTACTCTTTGAATGGAAAAAAACAACTTTAAGTGATTGTGGTACAATCAGCTGAATAAAGAAGAAATCTTTGAGAAATTAAATAGGCATTATATTTAAATCACTTCAATTGTATAATTATGTTATCTTTTTATGTTTTTTTTTTTTTTTGAGAGGG